GGGCAGTGGCGTACCCAGGGTTTTCTAATAAGGGAACGAGACCAAACCAAAAACTTGAGTAAAAAATGATGTTATGTAAAATATATAGGTAATTATGTTATAAAATAATTTGTACTTTGTCGGATAAGTTGTTCAAATGTATATGGATTTTATTATAGCAATACTAGTTGAATTACCCGATATTTCCCGAGCTCACCTTTGTCTCTATTACAGTAGGTTGTTGCCCGGTGATTTATCTTATGAAATGAGTACTCCCTTATCCGTGAAAACCAAATTAAACAATAATAACTGTTTTTTTTTCACGCGTGTTGCCAAAGTTACCCGTAAATCAATAAAAAATGTTCTATTGTCGTACAAAAATACCCTAATTTCTGTACCAGCAACTTTTTACTTTTTTAGGCGTTGAATTCATAAGTGAAAAGTAGACGTACAGTGACCACCGTTTTGTTTTGAATGTAATGTGGGCAAAGTTATAGTCGAGATAAAATTGTAGATTCGTATAAAAAAAGACATTTTTCACAAGATGGATGGGCTGCTGTTAATTAGAAGTTGGGAAGATAGGATATAGAGGAGGAATTTAATGTATATCTGTAGGAACAGTTAATCTTCGCTAACGAAAAACGATTCTAAGCGAAGTTCAGTTGATAGTATTGCTGTGCCAATGTTTTGTGAGGCTGTAATACTTATGATTTTAAAATAGTACATTTCGTAAAATAAAAAACAATGACCTGTTTAAAGTACCAACCCAGTCAGATTTCCTCATACTTGAAAATCGGAGCGATTTGCTGGTTTACAGATAAAAAAAAAAAAAAAAAAAAAAAAAAATAGACATCATCGTAAAGCTAATATATTCCTTGCTTCGCTCAGAATCTCATAGTCGATATAAATCCGAAATCTATCATCGGCGAAACAAATAATGTCTCCATGTATGGGTAGCAGTATAATGCTGAACAGTTTATATTATTATTATTATTAATTTTTGTTTTTTTTTTCCGTTTTCAACAAGACCGATGGTGGGGGGGTGATAGGGTCGGTACTCCCTCAGCCACCCCATCCCCACCCCTCGTGCACGCCGCTGCCGACGGGTCGATTCGTCAAGCGAAAAGACGATAATATTGTTTGCGATAAAACGATGATGCGAATCGCGGGCATCGCGCGTTAAATTGAAACGGACCGACGGCGACGCGACGCGATCGCGATTTCGGCGGGGAATTACGATTTGATTTTTTTTTTTTTTTTTTTTTTTCGGCGGCTGCGTACGGCAGAACGAAGGGGAAAAATCGTCGTGTCGCCGATAGAGTAATACAATATTATATGATCATGGTCCTATAGGGTCCAATTTAAAAATAAACGCGTTATAATAGAAATCGTCGTCGCCGCAGTATATTTTCCGCCCCGCGCGCGGGATTTGACAGCGACCGACGACTACGGGATGGGGGAGGGGGGATGGGGAGGGTGTGGGCTGAGGCGGCCGAACTCTAGCTCGTTTCCGTTTAAATCCGCGTATTATTATATTACAATATACTTCAACGAAACGGCTTCAACGAAAAACCAACGAAATCGTATACTGTTTCGCGGTGGCGTAGCCGGTATTTTTTTGTTTTTTTTTTTTTTTTTTTGGAAAATCTGCCAGCAAAAATAAAGCACACCACGCGAATCGTCCGCGACTTCGTTGTGCGCGCATCACACGCGTAACTCGCGCGTGAAATACTCAGATAATTATCTGCGCGCAACGCAACACGTCCCGCAGAAATCTGACGCGCAATCGCGCGCACGGTGAAAATTGAAACCGTCGGCGTAAATACGGTTAAAACGCACCGCGTGAATATTTCGAATTGCCCGAACGTGCCGTGGGAGTGGTGATTGCCGCTTCTCGCTGCGCCGCTACCCGTTTCGCATTGTCGTCGTTCCGAATCTCCGCGACTATAACAGTCGTAACGACGCAATATCATAACGACACGCGCCCGCGCTGTATTGCACTGCTGGTCCGCGCGCGTGGAAAAAAAAAATATAAAAAAATGACCGAGACAAAAGCGAAAACGTTTTAAACGTTTATAAGCGCGACGCCGTCAAAGCGTTTCGTAGTACCGCCCGCGCCGCATAATATTATTGTAACGTTATAATTGAAATGAAAAAAAAAAACCGTATCGCGTTGTGGGTAAAAAAATAATATATATATATACAACCTGCAAATGTGCAATATTCGCGTATAATAATAATAATAATAATAATGCGCCGTACAGGTGTATAAAAACGTTATACCGTAATGCGGAAAAATCGATTTCGAACACGACAAATTGAAGAAGCGTTCGCCCGAGAGTTGTTATTATTATTATTATTATTAACATTATCGTTATCGTCGAACCGATAGTAAATGCGGTTATTATAAAATAATAAGCCGATTAAAAATAATACGATTTATGCGATGGCGGCGAAAACGTATTTCGATGCGGGAACGACGAATGTATTCATCCCCAAGCGCATACAAATCTATATTCAGTGGCGGCCGTCGACCGATACGGGCACGCGTTTTTTTTTTTTTTTTAAGCGGTCCCGGGAGAAAATGTTGCGAATTTCGAACGGTTGTACAACTCAATTGTCCGTTACGGATCCGCGCAGAAACGTAACGTGTATTACGGTCCGTAAACAGTCGCGTATTACAATGAATATCAACTGTCACGGACAATATCGCCGGATATTGCCGGCGCGTATAATAATATAACCGATACTAATATATCGTCGCTCTAGAAAAGTCGTCCCGGGATAACGGGACCGGTGCAGCCGTCGTTGTGCGAGAGAAGTTTGGGAAGACAGTAAAGAGGCAATTTAATGTGTACTCGTAAGCAACGATGGACCGTCGCCCGCGTAAAAACGATTCTGAGCGGAGTTCGGTTAAATAGTGTTGCTTCGTCAACAATAATATATACGAGTATGTGTTACATTATGGTAAATTAATTACACACGCGTGTTATATATTTTGTTTAATAATATTTGTTTGTACCTGTTTTTCCGTTTTCCGAACGCTTTTTTTTCGGTTTTTCCTATTTGTTGGGAAAACTCCTTGGAAAATTAAAAAAAAAAAACCTTTTCAAAATGTCTCACTAGTCGGATTTCCTATTGGAAAAAGTGCTATCGTTGTAAATCGAAGCGAAATTGCCGGTGGAAAAAATGTCCATAGAAATAAAAAAATAAATAAACGCCATTGAAAAACCATAGGCTCGTTCGCTCCACTCGGATTATAAAAAAAAAAAAAATAATATACTTACTGATATATACTTACTACGAAACGGACGCGTCTAACGCGAAACGTAAAAGTAACAAACGCCGTCGTGGTAACCGGAATAGTAATTTGATTTATTTTTGTTATACTCGCATCGAACCGATTAAAAACGTTCGGCGGAGAGCCGAAAATTTTATCAGGCTTTTCTATACGCCCGGGACGGACCGCAATACAGTGGGTTTATCGATTGAAATTTAAGAGCGGCCATTTGCGGACCGTAGAGGCGAACGTGTCTAATGAATACGCCCCCGCGATCGGCCGCTCATCAGCTCGAATCGGTTTGTTCGTTCGGACCCGCAACCAGCTAACTGATACGATATATTACGGCGCGATAACGTTACCCGCCGGGGTGTTAAGCCCGGAGACGACCGCGGGCGAAATCGTAAAAACCGGCCGGAGCTGACGGGACGGCGGCGTGGCGATGATGGTTTTTACAGCCGCAGACGGCCGTCGTAACGACACGAATGGTGCGCGACGACGACATAGTTTTTAATGAGTGCGAACATCAAACGCGTTTAATGAAAATAAACGCCCCCGTCGACGCCGCAAGCTTTTACTGTTAATTTGGAACGTTGTTATTTTTATACGGCCGCCGATCGCGAAGACTGCGCGCACCCGGTTTACGACCGCACCGCGCGTCCACTTTTCGGCGAATCGAGGACCCTGCTTTCTACCGGTTTCTCTCTCACGATATTTCAATTCTCAATCGAGCATGTAAAATATTTTAAGAAATTTCGTTAAAACGAGAAAAAAAAACGAAAATCCGCCCACGTGGTTTCACACATATTCTTATCGTAAAACAAAATTATTTCTGCGATAAATCAGTCAAAATAATTGCAGAAAAAAAAAAAAATTATAATAAAATAATGATGTCCTAAGATAATGTGGAATAGTGCAACAACTGTTGTAGATGGGAAATTAGAAAGCTAGGATGCAGTAGGGAATTTAATGTGTATCTGAAAGCAAAGATAAACCATTACTAACTTAAAAACGATTCTGAGCGATGATAAGGTTACTTTTTCAAAAATATATAGGTCATATTACGGCAAAATAATTAAACAGGCATTATATATTTTGTATAATAATTTGATATAATTGATTTGATTTTCCCGTTTTCCTACGTTTTTCCCATGATTTTTCCTGGTTTTTCACATTTTCTGGGAAAATCAACATTTTTAAAGTACCTGCCAAGTCAGATTTCCTTTCAGAAAAGGTGTTACACCTAAAAATCGGAGCAACATTTCCGGTAGAACAGCTGTCTATAGAAAAAAAAATTTAAAAAATGATAAGGGGCCGGACACAAAATTTCACTGTTGCCAACCCGTTCGATGCCGAAACATCATTATAACGGCATAATTTCGTATTACCGCATATTTTGTTTGCACCATTATCGCTCTACCACGTGAATTTTATGTAAAAATGATGAGACTTATCCGACGTTTCGTTCGCCACACTTTATTTCTCTCCTTTAACCTGACGTCGGTTATCGACGACTAAAGGTTTATTTCGGTTTTCACGTAGGGACGGGATGTGTTTTCCTGGACTTTCAGCTGTTTCGCAACAATGTAACCGGGTTTGGACGCGGCGGATAGGTTTTTTTTTTTTTTTGACGTCGGTGTTGCTGCGGACTGCCGCGCCTCCGTGGCCATTATAATTTTTCTGTTAACCACCCAGTTTTCTACAGCGGTTTAAACAAAACGAACACATAAAATCATTCCATTTTGTGTAGTATATTTTTATCATTATATAAACAATTTTCTTACATAATATTTATTATTTAATAATGGTATGTTATCATTATTTTCAAACATCAATATTTTCTATAATGCATTTCATATATACGTATGTATATATATTTTTTTTTTAAGTCGTCGTGACGTTATTTCACGTTTACAACCGACGCAATACAATAATCAATAGTAAGTATATTATAATTATATAGTAATAATAATATAAGCGCGAGAATACGCGCGATTAGTCTTGACGTAATAATATTATGTGATAACAGCCCTTATATTTATCATGTACAATCGGGTCCAAACGAATAAAGACGCACGCGTAAATGTGATAAAACTCGCATATACTGCGTTATCGTAACCGTTTGGATGTTTAAACCGTTGCTAAAAAGTTCGTTCGAGTGACTAGGTACCTACTCTCGTTTAATAATAACAGTCAAATCTTAGTTTGTAATCGCTCGTATCAAACGAATACGGTTCGGATCCAAATTATCAAATTATTACTGACATAACAGCTAGACCGATAAGGAGAGCGGGCACTAATCACGCGCATAATGACACGGCCCGTAGAAACTCGATTCCCGAGTGTAAAAACGACGTTATCCAAAGTAATTTCTCGGTGTTTTGTATACGCTATAAAAAGTGAATGTTCGTCAATGAATACCGTCGCAATTCAAACCGGTGATCGGTTACCGTTGGCTATTACCTACCGTACTGTCGGCGAGATCCCGAAAAACTAACAACAGTTTGAGTCGTGTCACCGTTTCTCGCGCGTATAGGCGATATCGTAAAATTAGGTGTACCGCGACACGGTTATATTATACTTTATTACATTTATATCGTATATTCAATAATATTATTTACGTTTTAATGTCATTTAGTTATTAGTCGTCACAACACGACGTTTTCAATCGTACCGGATTTGGGTGAATCGTATAGAGTAACGGGAAGATATTTCGACATTGCATTACAATTGCGTGGGACGCGCTGTGTAACATCGCGGTGGACGAGGTAGCCCGGATTAACACGGTATTAAAATGTATTACCGGACGTGTTTTGGCGGTGCAGTTTTCGATAAACGGTCGCTATTTTGCGTATCATACATTGCGCCGATAGACGAGCGTTTTGTACACGGAGCGCGGTCATAGAACGCTCTTCACGTGTGACTTTTACGTGTCATTATTGTACATTTTGCTACACATACAACGCAACACTGATGTAATTATACCGCGCACCGCTGTGGTACGTCTGACCGGTTACCACCTCAGCTACCTCTAAAGGCAAAGCCGGTCTATTCATATGAGGTCTATGATATTACAGCCGTTGTCCGGTACGGTATACCTACCACGGAGTAACGTAGAGGCGGCGATCCGAATACAAATTTAAGCGAAAACAATAGTGGCTGCAGACTGCGTTTTCGGTGTGACATTTTCAACAAAATTGAAACACTGTGACAATGTCAATTCGTTTGCAAACATGCGCACTGCACGGCGTTGGGTAACACGTCATCACAATGATGCACAGAAATGCCAAACGGTTATCACTTACCGTCAAACAGATGTCAATGTTTGTCGACGCGCGATGCGAAATAGCGGAGCGAATTTTCGTCAACGGTGTCCTTTTCAGGGTCAACGAACGACGGTTTTGTTACACGGCCGTCACAGGGATGATCGCCTCCGTACACTGTTACTCCACGGTATCTACTCGGTTGCGATGTCACTAAAACGTTTTTGTTCGCCCGTAAACTACGACTATAATGATGTTATTACGAATCCGCAAAAAACCAGTAACCGAACGCCGCAGTAAACGTAGTTTTGTCAATAGTTTCCCGATTCCGGCGGTCCGTTTGCCGGAAAACGGTTATCAAACGATAACCGCGATCGCGGTCGCTCTAAACCGCATCGCCAAAACACGCAATCTCGCGTTAAAATAGTAAACGGCTATCATTAATATGTCGTTATCGATAAATTACAGTTTTTAACGACGCGACAAAATACCGATCGCTGTGTCGGATATTATACACACGTACAGGGCATCCCGCAGAGTATTGACACGCGCGATTACTTTTGTTCCGTTTAATATTTTTGAGTTTTTATTTTTCGCGATAATTCCCAGAGCCTCGCGCTACGAATTTTAAACTATACGTAAGTTTCTTTTTTTTTGAATACTAAAAATTGTTTTTTTTTTTTTTTTTTTTACAAAATTGCGGTTTTCGCGAATTTATTTCGAAACGAAATGTCGGTGTTACAGGCATGTTAACTAGTGACGAGCAGTTAAAATTTCCTACTAATTTTTCGAGTTTACGGTGGTTGAAACCGTCGCCTGCACTACTAAACAATAATTGAAATCTGTTAATCACTCTTAGTGATTGCAAAACGAAAAAACTTAAAAACATTAAACGGAACGTCAAGTGATAATTGCATTTGTTGCCGTGTAACGTCCTGCACGTACAACGTCCTATGCATATAATGTTAACGGGGCCGGCGAGGACAGGGGCGGTTGAACGGGAAGACGATAATATAAATTCTAAAACAATCGAGGGAAAAAAAAAAAAAAATAAACAACAAAAAATGTTCTATAATAAGATCAACGGCGATGACGATGGCGACAACGACGCGACGTCGCCGCGGGCGGCCGACGCACACAGGAATTGAGCGCACCGCCTGTCGTCGGCCGTCCGGTCTGGCGTGCAAACGACAGCCACCGCGCTTACCGCGAGACAGCCGCCGCAACCGCCGCGGCCGCGTGTCAGAGGCACTTGAGCGTCCGGTACAGCGGCGGGACGAGCCGGACGGACGCGCTCGGGCTGGCCGGCGGCTGCGACGACGGCGACGCGTCCCGGTGCTTGGTGTGGTTCCGGTCGTTTCCCGCTACGTTTCCGGCGCCGGCGTCTCCCGCCGCGCCGTGGCCCTCCGTGTACAGTTCCCGATTGTCGTCCCACATGTTGGTGGCGTCCTCGTCGTCGTTCCCGCCGCGGTTTCCGTCCAATCCCCGTATTTCTGTCGACATAACATTATTATTGTTAGAAGCGTAGACTTATACGTCTTATACGGAACATTCAGCACGGAAACGAGTTCCGGTGGGTAAAGCTCCGTTCCGACGACCGGATAGTGCGGAATACGCAATAATAGGAATTTCAATTACGGTAGATAGCAGATCGACAGAAGAAGTTACGAAGGTAATTATAGCTTTAGCAAAACAAACATTCGAAAGGGAGAGATCTCTATTGACAAACAAGAATTTGAGCATTAAAACTAGGAACAACCTTCGTCAAATCTTATATCTGGAGAATTTTGTTGTGTGGATACATAACGCAGACCATTAAGAAGTATGAAAAAGAAAGGCTGGAAGCGATAGAGGTGTGGATGTGGAGGAAAACAACAAGGACGAGATGGACAAAGAGGAGAAGTAATGATATCTATCAACTTGCAGGAAATAGGCGAAGAAAGAAGCATCATTACGACTATTATGAAAAGTAAAATGAAAATCATCGGACATCGTGTATAAGACATGGCGACTTTGTCGTAGACATCTTGAAGGGGAGGATTATGGAAAAAGACCAAGAGCAAGACCCAGACCATCATATTTCAAAGACATCAATCAACCAATGGGTTTCACTTCATACCAACACCTGGAGGATATGGCGCGTGATAGAAAAAATCGGTTACATTAACAAGGCCTGGCCTTTAAAAACTGATGATGACACAATAATACTATGCGATAATAAACGGAGTGTTTTAAGTGGTCGTCCTCGAAACCCAAAGTCGTTATCTCTCACACCTCAGTCTGCACATCAAAATCTATCTCTCTTGATCCGTTCGGATCGACCACGTCTCTCAGTCCTCCGGATAAATGTTCTGTCTAGATGTGTATGAGGCTATGGTTAAAGACGCAACGCATGCCAAAACAGTGAACAAATAATTACACTACACAATATTTATTCATATGTGAATGTACACACCGATGCAGTGTGGTGTAAGTAGCGCGTAAATGACTCACAACGCGAATTGGTAGTTGTTGGCGTTTTTGTTTGTAGTGACATTGATAGATATATAAAATCTGCATATTTTTTTTTTTTTTTTTAAAGATCCTCGCCACATCCAGTAGAAGCCAAGGGACTTTTCAGGATACACATAAAGTTCTTTCGCTATACTGAATAGGTCCGAAGAGATTCCGTGTTTTTTTAATAACACACATGGGCCCAATATTTGCGACGGTTATTTTAGCTATTGTTGTTCGAAAATCACAAATCTTTTTTATCAGAAAATGACACACTTAAAATACTTATTATTAATAATTTTTAAATTAAAACAAATAATTCAAAAATTTGGAACCATCAAAATGTATAAATACGTATCGCATTTATGTTATCACGGTATTAACTTTGCTGCTCATTTACGCCATGCCAGCGCGCCACTGCCACACCATTGCATTGATGTGCACCCTGCCTAATACAACAATAAACACGCAGTAACAATATCGGCTATCGGACTTATTTTTCCAGTCGTGTATACCTGCTATATTTAATTATTTGTATAATTTCTACTATGTTTATGACCTTATGCGAAAATCAATTGGACAATACTAGTGATAATTAAAATTGGGTACCCACCCGAGAAGAAAATTAGAAACGTTTCCCTTATTTTTTTTTCACGGAAAGCATTAATTTATCATAAGAAAAAAAAAATACGACTTATAATACATTATCTGTGCGATATTATTTATGATACAAATTAAAAATTTTCATGAAAAATGTTTTTTTTCTTCTCGGATACACTCTTTTTTGCTTATCGGATGTTGTCTGATGTTGTTTTTCATTAGGCAAAGAGTGTCTCCGGGGTGTAGTCCATCACACCAGTTAAATAATATAGGTCTGCGTTTTACCATTTCCTCCTTAAAACCAAAGCTAGACACTAATTATATATTAATTTAAAATTTAAGCTATAAGTTACTTTTATTGATACATTTTAACTTGATTATTTGAAAAAAAAAAAATAATAGAATTATAGAAAATAATTTAGTTATTTCTTTTAATAAATAATTTTTAATCGAAGTAATTATTTTTTTAAAAACCCGAGTCATTTTCAAAAAGTAATATTTACGAATTTTATGTAAAAATAACTGTTTGCCTATGGTTTTCGTATTTACTTTTCGACGGAAATTACGTAGTTACTTTTATACGGACGCGCATCCTATGCAGAGATATGGGAAATCTCCAACACGCGTATTTGTGTAGTATTAACTAAGGAACGGATTTATATGTACTTGAAATTAGCGGTCTTACTTTTCTAAGGTGAATACAAATATACGTGTACATGGATATTGTGAACACGTGAACGTAGCGAAATACAACACGAATGATTATTAAACGTGAACTAATAAATGATAAAACACGTGAGCAACTATCGGAGTTATAATCACGTGCATACTAGAATTAGCTAATCACGTAAATAATTTGAATTGGTATGAAAATGTATATTATTTACTATTTACCTATATTTATTATATAAGTAAAATCATTTTTGTTCTACGAATAAAAATAGAGAACTAAGTAATTTAGACGTAAACACGTGAATTCATAAATTCACGTTAACTTTTAAGTAACGGGTCTTGTAAATCGATCCTTAATTACACGTGAACACGTGTACACTCGAAATGAAGAGCACTACTTAAAATCCGCAAAGAAGCACTTTAATCTTTAAAAAAGTACACTTAAAAAGACGTCCTAGGATAATGAAGACGAGAGCGGCCACTGTTATAGATAATTTAATGTTTATCTGTAAGCAACGATAAACTATTTCTAACGAAAAAACGATTCTGAGCGCAGTTTTGTTGATAGTGATGCTTCGTCAACAACACATATATTATGTTTTATTATGTTAAACTAATTAAATAGGTATTATATATTTTATTTAATAATATTTGTCTAATATATTGATTTTATCGTTTTTTCTTCATTTTTCATGGTTTTTCTATTTATAGAGAAAACTCTTGGAAAAAATCGAAAAACTTCCTTTCTAAAGTACCTTTCCAGTCAGATTTTCTTTCAGAAAAAGTGCTATCATTTTAAATCGGAGCAAAATTGCTGGTAGAACAGTTGTACACCGAAAAAAGGGTCATAATATTTTTTTACTCATACCTACACTTCGGACATTTTCCTTTTTTCCGAATTTAATCCCGTTTTTCCCAGTCATTATGAAAACTGATTGAAACATCACAAAAATGACCTCCCTAAACCGTGGAGATAAAATTTCTTTACAGAAAATAAGGTACACTTAATACATCAGAGCAAGATTTCTGGTAGAAGAGTTTGCACAACAAATCGAGGGTTATTTCGCGATTAAAATAGAATATTTTTAATTGAATTTCAACAAATAACAAATTTGAAAAAAAAAAAACATTACTTTCGTACATCACTCGTTTTTCTTATGTTTTTATCTGGATTTTCGAGATATTATGAAAACCGCTTGGAAAATCAAAAAATGACCTCCTAAAAGTACCATTTGGACAACATCCTTTTTCAGAAATGGTATTGGAAGTATATATTTGATCAAGATTTCTGGTAGATTTTGTGTAACAACATAAAAAAAAAAAAATTAAAAGAAATAAATAAACATCTTAGTAAAATCAACACATTATTCGCTACACTCAGAATCTAAAATATTTAAAAAAGAAAAAGTGTGGAAGGGGTTTTAATGTCCCCACTGTAACGGTTCTAATCCTATTAAATAAAACACTCTAACAGAGACTAATGATTAACACAAAGCATTTTTTTTCTTTTATAACACGTAAAAGCATATTTAAAGAAAATAACCTTGTAATAATCGCTTTTTATTATTAAAAAAATTTTTTTTTAATCATTAGTTTGATACAATAAATTCAGAAACTTTTAAACCTTTATTGCTCTTTTAAATATTGTTTAAGTGATTTGTTTAGGGTATTTATGACGTTATATGATCTTTTTAAGAGCTTTTTTAGTGAATTTTAAATACATATAAATCCGTTCCGTAGTAATAACTAATAAGTTTACAAAAGTGTAAAGCTCACAGTACAGAATACGTTTAATTTTTTTTTAAAAAAAAAAAAAAGTAACTTAGCTAGGTATATTATCGTTTTCCTAACAATTTTTGTAATCCGACTGGCGAAATTAATTTTTGTATTTTAAAACCGGCCTTTCCTTAGCTCAGATGATTGTTTTATTTTCTAGAAAGATCTAAGCGAAACTGTATAGCGAAACACGAAATCCGCCGATTCGCCCGGGTTCGACTGGAACCCGCCGAGTAAACCCGACACCGGAGGTTCGCGCCATTGTCGTGCCGCGCGATAATAATGAGGCCACGACCGTTTTTCGTTTAGCGTCCCGAAGGACACCGAGACGCCGAGGTGTGTTACATAATAATCGTATACCGCCGTCAAAACAAAATAATTATACGCCGCAATATAGGCAATATTAATATATTATCGTGTTTCGCATTATTAATCGCGGTCAAACTTTCGGCAAAACACACCGCGCGGCCGCCGCGTAAACACGTGTACCTTGCAGCGCGCGCACTGTCGTTTTATATAAACACGAAATTCGGTTAAGTCGCCCCGATGCGGTCCGCGGTTACCCCGAAAAGTTTCTGCCCCGCGACGCGAAATTTATACGATTATTATTTTCACATTATCGCAGCGTCCGTCCGTGCCTCTAATTCGCGTCGTTCTCCGCAACGGCCCGCCGCCGGACGA